CGTGTATATATTCAGAGAGCTCCGAAAAATCTCGCTAGTATTAAACGATCGCCGGTTTTTAATAGTGACAATGGATAACGTACAAGAAAACGATAGAACACCTAGATATAAGTTTTTATCTCCGAGTGAGCGTCGAATTGTGTTGAAAGTGGAAAATTATTTTACTTTATAAAAAATCAACATGGGACCAATTACATCAATACTGGCAGTTCAAAAAAGGACAAGTGCAGTTTGTGGAATTTCAGAACGGACCTTGCACAGAGTTCGCAAAATAAGTGAGGAGGAATTAAGTAAGGAAAATAAAAGGTTTCGTTTGCATCCGAAAACCCTCGATTTGCCGCAAGGTATTAAAATCTCAATCAGAAATATCATTTATGACATGTAGAAAGCAAAAGAACATGAACAAGAAAGACACTTACTCAAAAAATAAAAGACAGAGAACTTTGTGATATGGGTTTGACCAGTTTATCAAAAGTATTAAAAGCTATGGGTTTTAGATACAAAAAAAAACAATAGTCGTAAAGTGTTGTGCGAGCTGTCCAATGTTGTTGGAAAAAGGTGGAAATTTATAAGAAACTATTCAAAAAACAAGAATTCCGAAGTTGCCAGACAATTTGTGTTTCTTGACGAAACATGGATTTTTGCGAAATGAAATAATACCAAATCATCCTGGCAAGATGATTCTACCAAATGCTATTTGACTACTAAAGCAATAGATATATTATATTGCATGCAGGAAATATGGAAGGTTTTATACCCAATGCTAGTCTTATATTTTTTTCGACAAAAAAAACCTGATGATTACCACGGAAAATTGATTTTGACCATTGATTTGAGGAAAAACTATTAAAAAATCTGGAAAATCCGTTATTAATAGTTTTAGATAATGCTTCGTATCACACCAGAGAGGAGAAAAAGTTTCCCACAAGCAGCTGGAAAAAAGAAGACTTAAGAAAGTGGCTATCGGAGAAAAATATAGAACAAGAACATCTAGTTTTAAAAGCTGAATTACTAAATAAGTACAAAGAACACACTACTGAGAAAAAATTTGTCGTTGACCAAATGGCACTAAAATATGGTCATGAGGTCCTAAGACTACCACCATATCACTGCCAGTACAATCCAATTGCATTGGTGTGGGGCATCACTAAAAACTATTATGATAAACATGCATGTAAGACCACCGACGAAGCCAGCGTTTTACAACTCTGGCAAGATGCACGAAACCAAGTCAATGAGGAACAATAGTGGAAATGTATTGAGCATACTGAAAAAAAAAATTTTAGAGTCATATGAAATAGAACAAGTTATTGATGAAGTAAGACCTTTAATTATTCGTACAGATGAAGATTCAGATGAATCGAATAGCGAGTCAAATAGTGATGATACCTATCCATAGATTAAGACGTAGATAGAAAAATTAACACAAAAGGGTACTAACCACAAAAAATAAAACAAAAATCGCATGCAGGAGATAGCCGGAGGCACGCCGCACGACGCTCATGAATGCAAGCACCAAAAAAATTAGATTAGCAAGTACAATTGCTTTGACCGGTAGTGATAAAGCCAAATGGGCTAACCTACCACTTAAATGTAAATACACGGAAATCTCCCATTGCCTGACGGGGATTACTGCGAAATAGTCGAGACTTGGCTCCAAAGACCAGGGGGCGGAGGAAACCCGGGTTGGTTGTATCGCAGGAGGACAACCTACCTCGGTGGATTTGGGAAGGTGTGTGTGGGAGGTAAGAATAAGTCTTTGTTTTATATAGATATATTTATAAAATATATAAATGTATATAAATATGTAAATGTGTATAAAAATAACGATATTTCACTATATTATGAAAATAAAATGTTTTAAGAATTTTAAATTATAAGAATAAAAATTATTGAATATAATTAAAATTAAAATAATGAAGATGTTAGATTTGAATTAGCTGTATACAAACTATTACTATTTTAAGTAAAAGGTATGCAATATAAAAATTTTTGAAATAAGTATTATTAAATTTGAATCTTAAGTTTCTTTTATAATCTTTTTAATTAAAAAAAATGCACTGCTCTAAATGATAATAAATATTCAAAAACTTACAGTTTTATCCCGACGTTCAGTTGTATGTTCCTGCTTCCTTCTTAGAACTGCAACTGGAACTGGTGAGCTGGATCTCTGGATGCTGCAAGATTTTTCTACTGCAAACTGGACTCCAAATTGCTGAAACAGTAGACTTAAAGATTGCTATGCAGGTTCTCTGGTGATCAAAGGCTCTCGTAAGGCTCCTACCCCTAATTTCGGTGCTTTCTGGTCTTTTTTATTTCTTTTTCTTTTCTCCACACTTCGAATTCGATAGTCGCTCTTGTACGGAACTGGGAAACAGCTATTTAGGTCGCTAAGGGTCGTCTCCTTCGAAGCTCCAAACCAATTAACGCCTTTTTAATGATGTTTTGACGAAGGACCAATGGAAAGATTCAAACGTGGTTTTTGAGGTTCGAATCGGTTTTTAAATGCTCCTTTGTCCACTTTTTGTCGATCGACGATGACAAATATAATAAAAGGTTGAAGTTGTGCAGAAAATGTTGATTTTATTGACAGCTACTAGTAATTAGAGAATATGATGTTCGTTAGGTAACTTCTTCTTCTTCTTCTTCGTCTAGCCATTCACGTCCACATCTGAACATAAGCCTCTTCAAGTCTTCCTTTCTCGTTAGGTAACTACTTATAATAAACTGTACTCAAATGAGCTCAAATCTCTAATTTATAATCTCACAAATAATTCATACCTCAGCACAGACGTTATTGCTTTCTATCATATAATAAACTTTGAACTATTTCCTTACATTACAATTTAATCCAGGCCATAATTGCGACTCTTGGGAAGTTCAATTAGAAAATATATAATTCGGCAATTTATTTAGTTGTGGGTAAATGAACTAAGTATTAAAATATTATAGGTACGATATGGTTTAGGTACAATGTCTCACTTATACACGACGAAACTATAAAAGATTAAGAAGTTAAGAATAATGGAGATTACAAATTAAGGGTTTAATTTGTGATTGAACATTAAGCGTCATTTTATTTTTATAATACCTAAATGTATACGTAAATGTATGTAAATCTTATCTTACAATAAATTATAGTACCTAACCATATGTTTAGCAAGTTTGCCAAAAAAATTAATAACTGATCAAGTAGTAAAATTTCCGACTAAGGATATTTGAATCATCAATTTTTAGAATAAATTAGCAATAAATCAACCATAACGTTTCAAGAACAAAATATGATTGAAATGTCCGATATTGGTAGTTCAGATTTCTTTCCTATGTGGCGTAGTTACCCTACCGGACAAACAGTGTGACTTGTCGTCCTAGCCTTTTATATAGAGATATGTCGCTTTTTATTAAAAAATCATACATGAGCAAATATTCTCCAAACATGCCAACTTAAAAGATCATTAATTTCAAAAAGTCTCAAATGTTTTATTTAAAAATAAATTACTATGTCTATTACATCATTCTTTTGTTTAAAATAGTTTACTTTATTATTATTAATAGATCTAATTACTAATCCAAACATTCGAAATAATCTAATGTATTTGCTTATTTCTGTAATATACAGAAGGTATTTATGTTTCCATATGATATTTATTTTCGGATGTTAGTAATAATATAATGATTTTGATCGTAATGTGTTTAAAAAGCCGAAATTGGTAGTTGATTTGTTTGTTTAATTAAATATATAGTTTTCTTTGAAAGCCAACACAATTTTCCTGTTACAATGTTAACCCGCGAGAACTCGTGCCTACTTTTATGACGTGAGAACTCCCATATATAGAAATGTATACACCAACTTGCTTGTGTTTATTTGTTAAATCAAATATTATTTTGAATTTAATCTAATTTATTTACGATTAATACCTAAAATGGCGTGTATAGCAACAGTTTTTTGTCTTTTGATTGACACAGATACCCTGAACTCAGTGCTTAAAAATTTGGTATGGTACTGATTTACAAGTTAATCTACTGGAAAACAAAATTAACTTATCCATATTACAAAAAAATTAATAACTATATCATTGTATATAATAAGATGTATATTAAAACAATGATAGCACATTGGCATAATAAAGTAAAATTTGCGGAAAGTTACAAATAACATTTTTAAAGACCCTTAAGGGTATATAAGATTTAACTTCTGGCAACTGTAAAGCTAATTAATGATTTTAACGTATTCTCAAAATCATCGTCAAAATCTTCGTTTGACATACAATGTAAAATGAGAGATAAGTGGTCTTGCTGAATACTGTATTTAGTTTTCAGAATGCTTAGAGTTTCGTCTGTAGGAAAGTTTCTAAAGAGTGAAACGATATCGAAATCGAAACTTACGAATTGTGGTATAGGGCATTGTTTTAGAAGTTCGATAAAATGAAAAGAATTTTTGACGAAGGATGACGCATTTTCGGCGAGAGGTTGCAGAGTATAATAATTAATCTTAAAATGTTTCAGTAAAGTTTCAAAATTGTATAATAATTGTTGAAATGGAACAAAAATGAAAATATTTGGGTTTGTAGGTAGGCAACCATCAATACAAATACCTGATGTGCAGGGGATGCAATTTGGGATTTGATAATGGCAATAATCCTGAGTCTTCAAGAAATCAAATCAACTGTATACTTGTAAATGAGCGTTTCCGAAATGTCGTCAAAAAAGTCACTACATATCCTGGTGCAGATATTGGATCTGATCATCTACCACTCATAGCAGATATTAAATTAGGGTTAAAACGAATTCAGCGACAAAAACCAAAAACTAATGTACTTAACTTTGACAATATAAATATAAAACATAATTTTAAAAAAATTTTAACAATAGAATAAAAAACATTGGAGAACAACTAGAAGATCCAGAAGAACTATGGAGTGAATTTAAAAACCAAGTTAACGAAATCTCCACAAATTCGTTAATGGAACAACGTCGACTGATAAAATCTTATGTAACAGAATATAGACACCTGCAGAGAAGAATAAAAAAGGAGATCAAATTAGCCAAAGAAAAATGGATGAGAGAAAAGTGCGTCGAAACATGCGAAATATATATATATATATATATATATATATATATATATATATATATATATTATTGAGTTATTCAAAGGCTTAGTGCGCCAAGCAATTAATTAGCTAATTAATTAATTAATTAATTAATTAAAATTATTTAAATGATATGATTATCATTCTATCACACTTTTTAATTCTCTTATCTCAGGGTTATATTCGTGCTTCAATATCTATGCTTTACATGTGAAAGGTAAGGTCCAAAGAATACCGGAATAATAAAAAACATATATGATATAACATTATATATTGAAATAAAAATAATGAAATAAAATTCACACTCAAATGTTTTCAATAAACAATATCTCATATAATGATTCTCAAAATTTTGTTCTACGTACGTGAACCTTCAAAATTAATGGTACAAACAATATTAGTTAAAATCCTAAAATCCCAATTATTATTCTAAATCTCCTAATCAAAATATTTATATCTTTTCTAAAGTAATTGTAAAAATTTTGTTATCAATAAAAGAAAAACTGCAGAAATACCAAACTATCTCTCTCTGATGATGAGTGGTCCAAATCCTTGTTCCTTGTAGCCTATACTATCTATTCTTAGCAGCTCCCTAGGTAATCAGCAATCTTACAACAAATTGTTGCAAGTTTATCGTCCTTAATGATCTCCTTCAAATGCACGAATCGTTCAAATTATGCTAGCCTCTTCTCCTCTCGATAAACTGAATCTCTCGTTGGCCTGAGTGAAAAATGACTCTTGGAATATCTTCTCTTTACAATAAACTGAATCTCTCGTTGGCCTGAACAGTGACTCTTGGAATATAAGTAGAAAAATATAACTTACAATCTTTTACTGGATCAGCTTCTGTCAGATACACTAACTACACGAAAACTCACAAACTTTCACTGCTACTGCTTCCTACCTCTGGGAAACTACCCGAGAACAACGGCCGTTCGCCTTGCACCCTTGGAAACCAACTGACTATCTTTTTTTTTTCAAAAACTAACTAAAGTCTCATTCTCAAACCAACCATCCCACCTTTTTCAATCTCATCCAATGAAAACGCGTCATACATCTCCCATTTCTATATTTCGATAACACAAACAAATTTTTACCTACAATTATAAAATTTCCTAAAACTGATTTACAAACTAATCTTTTTCTACCAATTCTTATGAACTAACAAAAACATATATTTCTAAAATCTATTCTATTGTCCTAATTACTGCATAAATTTATTTGGAAAACCCGTTTCCATTGTCTAAGATTTCACTTAAGCTCCTCACGTCACTTAAATATATTTTAACAAAGAAAATAATTTATCAATAGACTTGTAGACTTGTATAGCGTTATTTCTGCATTCCCTTCGTCTTCAGACATTGACGAAATTCGTGTACCCCCAACATTAAAATGTTAGCAGGACCCTGGTCTACCTGGGCTTTCGGCATGCGACCGTTAGCTAGCCACTGGCCCCTAGGAGTCCGACATCATTAGAGAGTGGCGCGTTGCAAGAAGGGGGTGCTCCCCCCTTCCTGTAGTACCTGTGTTGCGGTACGCACACACCCGACCATTATAACACCCCCCGGGGAGAAATGGTGAACGTAGACAGGTAGCCACCGAGGAGCTCTCTTAAAAAGGTGTATGAGGGACACAGCACGTTTAACCTCACCTTGGTTGTGTGTAATAAGAGTAGAGTGGTCCCACGAGAGGCTCATCTCGAATACTAGAAGTGTAGACCGGTGACCGTAACACCGTGCGTTTCTACAAACCCGACACCTCGAACAACGGCTCTCCACCTCTTCATTCCTTCCCATTAATCGCCTTTTACGACAGGCAGGGATAAATTGCCCTGGCTGTATTCTTGTCCTGCTATTTTCGCCTTATCGAGTGGTAGCTACAAAAAGCGCCATGTATTATAATAGCCGTAAAAGAAAATGATTTACCACTAACGTTTTCTGTCTTTTTAAGCTACACGAAACTTGTAAAAGAAAATTCGTGTTCCCCAGCTCTATATTTATATATTTGCTCTTTTTATTTACATTCCATTCCATAGCTTTTCTCCAAATATTTTCCCGAGGACTTTTCTTTCCTACACTTAGAGTATAACTTGTTCAAATTTGTTCATCGTCCATGTTTCACTGGCTTATAATGCTATGGGTCTTATTACTGTCTTATAGTATATATTCTTATCTTAGCCTTTCTAGATATTTTTTTACTTCTTAATAAGCTGTTCAGAACAAAGATACAACTATTACCAGCCATAATTCTCGCTTCTATGTCTTCTTTCATATTTGGTCTCCTGGTGAATGTCTCTCCTAGGTATTGAAACCTTTCTACTTCTTCCGAATTTATATATTTTTCCTTCTGTGATTATTGTCAGATGTGGTCCTTGTATGTATTCTCATTATGTCCATTTCATATATTTTGTCTTTTCTTCGTTTATCTATATCCCTTTCTTTCTCGCTGTGCTTCTAATCTTTTAGTATTTATTTTAATTCTTGTTTACCTATCACGGCTATCAGTAGTACATCATCAGCGAATGCTAGACATTGGTGCTTTCGTTGATACGTAAGTCCTATTCGGTTGATTCAGCGTCTTTGACGACAATTTCAAGAAGGATACTGAACAACAGTGATGACAGTAGGCCCCCTTATCGCATCCCCTAGCTTCAAACTTATTTGTTTGTTTTCCATTTATTTTAACAATATTCTCTCGTTTTCTGAGTGTCACTTTTATCATTCTCACTAATTTTCTACTAATTCTTATTTCACCTAGTGCCTTGCATATTTTTTTTTTCCGATTTACTTTCAAAAGCCTCTTTTAAGTTAATGAATAGGGCTACTGTATATTTCCCACAGTCATAGCTTTTGGATTGTATTTCAAGTAGCAGGAAAATTTTGATCTGCTATGCTGCCTCCTCTTCTGGATCCACATTGATATTTTCGTATGTTATTATCTATTTGTTGTGAAATCTTATCTTTTATATGTAGGTACTGCAAGTACCTTTTATATGAAACGTTTAGTAGCGCTATTCCCCTGTAACTATGGCACAAACTTTTGTCGCCTTTTTGTGAATTGGAAACAGTGTCATTCTTTCGGTATGTGTACTTGTCCCACATTTCTTTCAGCAACTTTTCCAAATGCTTAATTAGAACTGGTTCTCCATATTTAAACATTTCAACTGTTACTTCATCTTTTCCTGGCCTCTTATTTTTCTTTAGTTTCTCGATTATTTCTTTTTCAATAGGCGGTATTTCCTCTTTTTGTTCTTGATCGGTATTTGAGCAGGTTTTCTTTGGTAACTCTTTTTCTCATTTTTTACCCCTTGAATATAAGTTTCTAATTTCTCTATTTTTAAAGCTTTCTTCTAAGCATTTCATTTTACCTTCATTATATTTTCTTTTCAATGATCTTACGATTATTTTGACTCGTTTTCTTTGTGCTTTGAATTTTCTCTCTCTCTCTCTCTCTCTGTGTTTTTTTGCATCATTTTGAATCTTAATTTATTTCGTTCATCTTGTTCTATTTTTAATATGTACGAAAGGTAATAAATTAATTTGTATAAACAACAGTGGAGTTACACTCCTCAATGTGGCACATAAAGTTTGTTCACTACAAAGAAGGTTGTCTGTATATATGGAAGAGGTTATCTGTGTGAATATCGCTCTGGTATAGGTTACTGTAGATAACATATTTCTTGTACGTCAAGTAATACATGAAGTATCATGCAAATCTACGCTTAGTTTATACATATTGCATTTTTTTTTCTTACTCAGGTGGCTTTGGTAAAGGCCAATTAGCCAGATAATTTTTCGACTGTTCTAACAACCATTCAAATTTCGTCATTTTGTGTCATGTGGAACAATTTCATCCAATCATGTCAACATTAGACTGATAATTGCATTCAGTGCAATTTTCAATCTCTATGACAACACGATCGAGTTTGACAACTTCATCCAAATAAATTTCAAAATGTCCAATGTCACGTTTCGGCAATGAAAATGTTCAAAGTATAAATGCGCTAATCAAAGAAAAAAATCCCAGAAATACAACCTACAGTCACAAATATATTTGGGGAATATTCATGGAATTTTGCTGCGGACGAGAATATGAGTTGAATGAACATAGAATAACATAGATAACAAATCACTCGAATAGATCAACTGCCCTTAGCGAATTAGCAAAAAGTGGTGTAGAAGAACAATTGCTAAAAATTCTGGTCATGGCAATCAGAATTCTATAAAACCATACTTGAATCTCGATCAAGAACACCACAACAAGATTATAAATATTATGCGTGGTAATAGATCTTCTATAGTAGAAAACAGCAACGAATCAAATGTTAACTTAAATTTTAATAATTGTACTTTCACTAACTGTACTTTTAATAAATATATGTTTCGTTATGTTGAGTTATGATTTTTTTTTTTCGAAAAATTATCCGCCGAATATCCCTCGGATATTGATGAATGCCTCATAATTTCATGACAAATTTCTCAAGCTCGTTGCTTGGTAACAGCAGTCAGCCTTCGGCTTAGTGCTGTTACCAAGGAACGAGCTTTCGATTGTCATGAAATTATCTCGTCTGTTATCAATGTCCTAGGGATATTACTACTGACAATTTTTTTAAACTATACATATTGCAGTTAAATGTGTGATTAGAAGTAAACTATTATACCTAACACAAACCTTTCGGCCAGCCATAAAAATGGTAAGACTTGTAATGGTTACTTTGAAAGGTTTCGAGGGGAAACAACTCGAATTTAAAAAAAATAGTTCCAAGTATCTACGTACTGGAGAAGGACGATATTTCATAGAGAATTTAAAGTAATTTTGAACTTTAAGAGTTGATAATAAAGATAAAGATAATAAAAAAGTTGTACAGTAAATAATATTTTTAAAATTGAATAAAGTAATTTTATTTTAAATTTATTATTTGTTTATTTTACGATCATCTGTTTACAAAGTTTATTTATTTTACCAACTTTTAGTACTTCCGCAAGTACATAAAATGTTTGTTAGACATTTTATTAAAACTGAAAAAGTTTACATCTTGTATAACTTCTCTCATCGTCGCGTAAACGAACTCTTCCAACTATTTCATGGCGCTACTTACGTGAACGTCGCTTTATATATTTAAGACCTCTTTTTATAAAAAAATTGAGATTTCCAAGACAGATACGATTTAATAATTTCTCCTCTATTATTACAGCAAGGAAAATCACCGATTACAAATAATTGTAGTTCGTTAAATCAACTTCTTCGTTAAATTAAGAACTTTTTGTTGCAAAAATTGTTATAAATTATTAATTACGTCTAATAAAATTAATAACATTATGTTTAATTTTTAGAATTTGTCAAGTTATTAACATCATAAAGAAAATAAGAAGAACAAGGCTTAAAATGGTTCCAATGTTCTATGGTAAATATTTGGTTTTAAGTAAAAGCCAGGCTGTGATCCATGTTTACAATTAAATATCATTAAGCAAACATATTTTGACTGAATTGAGAAATATTTAATGGATATTTTGTTTCCTAAGTAGATAATTGTAAAGTTGTGTAATAAAGATATGGTTTTTATTTCTTGGAGTTTTATTTTTTTATTAGATTTACTTAAGAATTACAAGGAAAAGGTATTACTTATAGGTTTTTGAAATTATATGATTACCTTATAGTTGGCAAAATTGTGCAGTTTTTTTTTTGTATAAAGTAAGGACCATCAATCTTTAGTCATATGAAATTGGAAACGACGACGACGATATATTGCATAAGTTTGAGAAAACATCATTAATACAACTATTGACACCGTAGGTATCTGGAATGAGTTAATTTGCGCCTTAGGGAGAGCGCCCACCAAACTGGCATGGCCAGTAGCACGTAGTAAGTAGCACGCGTCTAGCATATTTCTTAAAATGTAACCAATGAACACGAATGATTAGAATGAATGACGTCACTGTCATTCTGGTGTGCGCTGAATCATTCGTTTGGATTGGTTATATTTTAAGTAACATGCTAGACGCGTGCTACTTGCCAATTGCTACGTGCCACGCCATTTTGGTGGGCGCTCTCACTTAGAGGGAGTGAGTGCCGGATCATATTAAAGGTACATGTTGGAGTCTTATCGGTTCTTCTATCAAACGTAGTCCCCTGCGTATGTGGAAAGAATGTGCTGAAAGAAAATCAGCATCCCCAAATATATCAGGGTTAAATGGATAAGTATCCGATCTCTCAAATCCTTTAACTACATTGCTGCATGTAAAAGCAACCAAGAACGCAAGACGAATACAATCGGCTATATTGTAACTGTTAAAAGAATACCCGGATTGTTTATCATCCATTTGTCACATTCTCTCTTATAATATGATTTAAACGGACCAAAAACTGTTAGATCAAGGGGCTGCATTTTATTGCTGCAATGTGGAGGCAAAGTTACTGTGTTACAAATATTAGGACTGGTGAAAACAAAGTTCTAGCAGCAGAAACAATGGCACACATTGTAACTAGCTCACCTCGTTCACCACTCGTACAATGGTTTACTTGCTTGACACCCTTTGTTCCAATAATCTTTTTAGGTTTCTGAACAGTAGTGAACCCGGTTTTATCTAAATTAAAAGTTCTCGAAGTCCTAGGGAAAGTGAAGAGTTTGTATTCAATATATTAAGGAGATTTTCGAAGAAAATTCCTACATTGTGTCTATTAAAAGAAGTCAGTCTTGAAAAGCTACAAGCCGCTGGTTGTCTTATGCTTAAAGTTTTGCAGCGTTGCATAAAATCTCGTATCCAAACTTCACCTGCCTTTTTGTTCAATTCCATGATCCTGGCGTTTATAGTTTTTTTGAGATTTCCCCTTCAGTCAAGCGTTTTTTAGTAACATTTCCTTGCAACGTTTGAAATTTTACAGCACATAATTTGGAAGCTCTTCGCAAAGACATGTTCTCATTTGTAACTAAATTTACCACCCTACTTATGGATTCTTTTGAAAAGGTAGCAATTTTTCGTGGTTTCTGTTTTCTAACCATCTGAAATGAATACCGAATTACAGTAAAGTTCACAATTAATTATCTTTGCTTTATTTATAAAAATTATTACCAACATACCAACTACAAGCTGGTACAGGCTGAGACAGTCTCACTGTCTACCCAATGTGGTGTCTCACTGTGTACTATTTTGAAAATGAACGTGAGAAGCAATGTCTTACTGTGTATTGCGTCTCACTGGGGACTACCCTCCCCTATTAATTTTTATGATTTTATTATTCCAGGTGAAAATGAAACACAACATGATAAAATTCTTGTTAAAGTGGTAGAAAGTGCTAGACAGTATGGAATGAAATTGAATGACGAAAAAGTGCAATTCAAAGTAAAAAAGGTTAGTTATGTGTATCAAATATTTTCTGAAAGTGGAGTTAAACCACAGGCCATAGAACAGCTTGAGAAACCTAAAAATAAAAATAAACTCTTAACAATATGTATTAGGGATGATAAATTATTTAACTAAATACCTGCCAAAACTTTCAGATATTCTTAAATCTCTAAAAAATCTAATAAAAAATAATGTTCACTGGTTATGGATTGTTGATGATACAGATGTTGACGGAAACAGAGTAGACATTATAGTGAGCACAGATAGAAAAATAATATCTTGAAATATATTTCTGTCTAAGTAAGTTTCATCATTTCATATATGATAAAAATAGAATTTGTGTAAAATTTTACCATAAGTCACTTGTAAGTATAGACACCAAAGATGTTTGTAAACTTACCAATAGGTTACAAAAGACTAAAATTAAAATGGTTCAAATATAACTACAAAATAACCTAGTTACCTGGAAAATATATGTACATTGCCGATTTACTCTTGTAAGAGAGTAGTTTCTTGTTCATTCTGTAGAAATTGAATTACCTATTTCTCAAGCGAGGATGAGTAAACTAAAAGATGCTGATAATAAATAAAATACAACAAAACACTAGGATTACTCTAGAATCCATCTTCTGATACCCTACAATATTCTATAAATCTCTCCACAACAAACTCAAGGTTAGCAAAAGACAAATTTTGGCTTGTATAGTACAAATATTTGATCCTTTAGGGCTACTTTCGCCCGTAATAATTACATCCAGAAACTCAAGATAAGTTGGGATGAGTCTGTTCCTGAAGGTATTTACACACTTTGGACGAAATACTACTTCAAGCTTACAAAATTAAAAACTTTAAAAATATCTAGACATGTACTTTCTTCTAACCCATTTTCTGTTCAACTTCATGGGTTTTCAGAGGCCTCGGAGGTAGCTTACGGTGCAAGTATTTACATATGCTGCACGGATACATTTGGAAATTATACTTCAAATCTGTATTGTGCCAAAACTCGCGTTTCTCCTATGAAACCAGTAACTATCCCAAGACTCGAATTCTGTGGGGCATCACTACTTTCTGAACTTGTTGAGAAAGTCACTTCCTCTTCAAGCGTTTGCTTTAAATATATCACGTACTGGACTAAAGATGGGCGTTATATAACGTATTTGGATAAATAACACTATTGCCAATAAGTATTCGTTTTCTCAATAATAGGTTATAGGAAACTGCCTATTACTTTTGCCACAGTGTAACTATAACGTAAAACGCAATGGTATTAATATGTTAACGTGACCGTGACAATATGGAACGATGGGAATCGTTCGCTCAATCAGTAACAGAATAGGATGGTCATTGTAACCGAATTTATGATGAGCTGTATGTTTTGCCACTTAATAGCTGGGAATACCACCGTAAGCACTTACGATTATTAAGACAGAGACTATGTTTATTGTTATTATAGTATGTTACTAGAATTTGCTTGCCCTTATTCTAATGTAGTTATTTTTTAGTTAATGCAAAACTAAATTCTCGAGTTATTTAATAGAATAATATTATACCTAATATTTTTTCCTCTCGCCTTATATTACAGAAGTTATGTATATATATAATATTTCATTTATAATTTATGTATAGTATAGTAGATGAATCATCTATTTTTAAGCCTCTGTCAGCTGTATATGTTTAATATTTATTTTTAACAACCATCAAACGTATGAAGAATGTTTATCACTCACGGTTGAAACAAAAATAAACTATAAATACTAAAAAGTATCCGTTTATTGAAAAAGATATTATGATTACTACAAGAAACTACAGCAAGCCAAGCGAAACGGAGCTGCTTGCAGCTTGGGTAATAGGCGACAAAAGTAATAGGTTACCGGAACATATTACCTGTCTGTCACCGGAACGATGAAACCTATTACTACAAAGTAACTGTATTTTCCATGACTATACTTGACTGATTCTAAAATTGTTATTTCATGGATAAACACCTCTTCCAATTTACTAAAAAAACTTTCATTGCGAATCGAGTAGCACAAATATAGAAGCTGATTAATCTCGAACTTCGGAAGTATGTTAAAACTTATGACAGACCAGCAGATCTCTTGTCATGAGGTATAAGTCCTTCATGACTCATTTATTCCAACTTATGTTTCATGACCCTTCTTGGTTCACTTTGCCCGAAGAATAATAACCTCAATATACACAACATCAAGAAGAATATATAACTTCTGAATAACGTAATAAAACGAATCGACAATGCATTTATCTTTTATAACAAATATTCCTCTTTCAATAACTTAACGCGCGTTTTTGCTTATGTATTGAAATTTAAAGACAATCTGTCGAATCCTATACATTTACCAATTACAGGTCCCCTGCCACACTCGAACTCAGTACATCTCTTTTAACATTATTATGTTTGTACAACGTCAATCATTTCCATATGATGCACTTTCTAATTCCAATTAAATTGACAGAAGAAGTAAACTGCTTGGCCTTAACCCATTCTTTGATAGTACAACAAAACTAACACGTGTTGGGGGTCGTTTACACCATTCATTTGATTTTAACAAAAAACACCCCATAGTGCTACCTCTAAAACATCATCTCACGATACTCATTGCTCGCCACGAGCACTTGAAACTTTTACGTATTGGTCCTCAAGCACTTATTGCTCCCTTACGAGAGAATTACTGGCCAATCCCAGTGCGCAATTTGGTTCGAAAAATTGTTCGTGATTGTACTTGACATTAAGCATATGTATAAATGTCTTGGAGTAAAGCAAGCGCGGAAAATTGATCATAAGTAAATAAAAATAGACTTTACTGTTAAGATTTGAATGAAGCAACTTTAACTAGCAGCAAGTGGCTGCTGTCATGACCAAAACAACGCTCTAGTTGATATAAGTCAATGACATCAACAAATCATATGCAACCTATGCAATGAAGGAAGGACGATTTAAAAGTGTTTGCCTGGAAACTGTGTGATATATTACTACAATATACTGATCACATTACTGCCATACAAGAAGTTCGACGGACATGACAGGGCATAAACCAAAAAAGAAATTATGATGTATGTTATAGTTGATAATAGGAAAATATGTTCTCACTAGAAATACCAGATCAGAAACTTTATTCAATTTATCTTTTCACTCATTTTTGTCACGAATATTGAGACTGACCATCTGTTCTTGATTAGAATTTGATTTCGAGTTTGTACACACTTCATTTCATACTCAATGTTTTTAAATAAAATAAAGGAGTAGTCTACATTATTATACTTTTTTAATATGCATTTATTACATAATTACATTTGTCATTGTCTTTACTTTTGAACCCTTGTAATCTTTTATATTTCTGTATAATCTGGGTAATCTCGTCAAGTATTAGACACAAAATGAAATGTGTCATTTGGCGACGTTATAGTTTAGAAGATCTGTGTCCGACCTATTTTCTTACCAATTTTCTTTTATACAATTTTCTCTGATCTTTTATTTTTTCTTGAACTTCGTTTGACCACCACTAGGTCTCTTTCCATTCAAACTGTTACGTTATCATATTCGTCGAATTTCTTTCCTTTTATAGATATTTTTCATTAATATCTCAGTTGTAAGCCTCTTATGTTAAGCGGTTTTAGTATTATCAGCTGAGACAGAGGAAAAATAAGAAGGACAAAAAAATTAATAAATATTTTAATACAGTTCAAGTCAATGAGAATTTTACAATAAAAATATAGTAACGAAAATAACGCATTCTGTATTTAACAAACCAGTCTATCATATCATTCCAGTAAACTATTGTAAAGATCTGTTCCTACGTACTAATATCACAAAAATATCCTATATTATAATAAATAAGCTAGGCTTACTATTGAGAGGTTGAATGAGTTTCTTACAAAAAAGTTCCTACAAAAGTTCATTACAATATTATATCATACAGAAAAATGTTACTTATATCTAAATGAACAAGCTAGTAGAAATAATTGGCACTTTGCAGATAAATAGTCTATGTATTGTTATATACAGTGAATTTACTATTCTAATTTGCAGAATTAGTTTTAAAATAAGCAAAAAAGAGTTTTTAAATCTTGCTAAGTGAAGTAAATATTTCATTTTATGGCACCAATCCAGTACATATATTAGAGGTTTTAGTTGAAAAGTTACATATACTTGATGGATGGACAAATATTGATAAACTAAAAGCAGTAAATAACATATTTCAGGTAGTGATAAAAGTGACAGCAGTATGTGCCAAAGCAATGTATGGAAGTCACGTTATACTAAAGATATTGTAGGAATAATAAAAGGTATTAAAAAAAGAATTTGTCTAATTCTCAAAAATCTTTCTAAAACATTTTTTTGCCGATAGCCGTCTAAAAGTAACTATTTTCGTCACAAATGTTGTAAAAGTTATAGTCTTCACAAGTATGTCGATGAAAACAATAACGTCCATTCAGCATACATGAAATGAAATGAAAAGATATAAGACAAGCTTGATCCAGCGGAAGAACATCACGCCTAAAAATATTATAAAATATTATATCCAACAATTAATGTCAATCATGGAACTAGAAGGTCAACAAGGAGGACCAAAAATTTGTTTTCTCTTTACTATCCATTAATAGTTGTGGATTGGATTGGAATAATAGTTGTAAAAAATTAACTACATATGGTGTGGCCAAAGTTAGAGCATCATGTCTTTTGAGAGGTCTCGAATCGTTCTGTGAAGTTCTACAAAGTTTTAACATAAACAAAAGATAAAGCTAAATCGAAAACAACCAGTCTCTTTGACAGACTTAAGTCAATCCAAACGATTACTCCCGTTTCTCTGGAAGGGTAACCTTTGTTCTTTAAAGAAAGACATAAGGTAGTATACCACGTGATAACTGTTCACAGAATCTTGAAGTACCAACTAGATAAGAGCAAGTAATCGACGATATATGTCGATTCTCCAAAGAGGAATAAAAGTCGGCCGATGTTCTGCTCAGGATATCACTCTAAGTCAGAGCACTAAATTCGCAAGCAATGAATCCTTACCCACTGAAGATTGAAGGAACTAGTAGGCCAAAAACAATAATCTGTTTGAAGATCTCAGTGTACCTGAAGTTTCTAAAAATTGGCCATGTTTCTTTTCTAA